TTTTTTGAAAGAAATTGTCTCTTTTATGCTGTAATTTGAGCATTTGCGAAGCTAATCTCATGTATTTTTAATAGGATTACATTGACAAAGCAGGATTGCTATAGATACTCAGTAGTAGAATTTGAGATATTCTTTTTAATAGGATTACATTGACAAAGCAGGATTGCTATAGATACTCAGTAGTAGAATTTGAGACTTTGAGGGAACCGCAGAGAGATCATGTTGTTCAACGAGGTGACTTTGAGGGAACCTCAGAGAGATCATGTTGTTCAACGAGGTATACTTTTATTTAAGGAAAGCATTTGGCAATGTACCTTGATATATTTTTTTGTGAATAATGTGGTTACCTAGTAGGTAATAATATTGTTAACTGGATCTGTGGATGATTGACTAGTTATAAGTAAAATTTGTTGATAGTTTTTTGTCGACTTACAGGGGGCCTTCTGATGGCTCTGTGTTGGCTGTTTTTTTCTTAGCACATTTATCAGTCGTTTGGTAAAAGATTTGAAAGGGAAGGTGTATAATATTGCAGTTAAGCTCACTAGTTCATGTGTTGGCAACATGGATTTGCATCTCAGCTTCATATTACTGATTTGCCAAGTTATTGAACTTGGCTAAACATACGTTTCCTTAAAAATTAAGGTCATTCCACAACAATATGTTGAACTTTCAGAAAGAGAGAACAAACCAAAGGATACTAGAGATGGGAGGGAGGGAGGAAAAGAGGGGGTTGGGAAAGTGATAGGTTGTGTAAAGGGCATGAAGAAATATCACAATTTGTAAGAATGAATATGCTAATAATAAAAAATTTAAAAAAATTAAAGTCATAGTATATACCTCATGAGTGATTTGGAAATTGAATGAAATGGTTCATATAACACACTTAGATTTAACAAGTATTGTTAAATATTCATTAAGATTATTATTATTGCTTAATTATTTGTAGTAAGTGAATTTATACACAATACAAAACTCTTAGATATAGTAACTACCAAAGCCAACAAGGTGAGTGTAAAATCATTAATATGCTTCATAAAATGAAAATATTGAGAAGAATTTTGTTAATACATATTAATGATTGGACAGTATCATGTAACTGTTAAAATCTAATTCTGTTTTAGGTTTTTTTAAAGAATAGAATTGTAATATATTAAATATAGTTCTTTTGCAGTATTCTGCACTGGTCTGTCCTTCCTTCAACAGATACCTGTTGAGTATCTGTATCAGTGCTACAGATTTAGCCCAATGTTTTAGGAGGGATGTATGAAAGGAGGTCTGAAAATTCTTTCCTCATATGGGCTGAAGGAATTAGATCCATTTATTAGGGTAGAAAAAGTTATGTTAACATTTGATAGCTCTTTTTGTATATCTCAGGGTATATGAAATTAAAGAGGAGGCAGTGTAGTTCATTTTCTCTAAAGGCCAAATTAGAACTATTAGGTAGAAGTTACAAAGTGGAAGATTTTAGCTCAAAGCTCAGAAGAACCTTGCTGCTATGAAAACTGTTCTATAAGGCAGTGTGCATTTATTAATGAAGTATGAAATGCTTCTGAAGATATTTAAAGCAAAGGTTAAAAGGTATNGCATTTATTAATGAAGTATGAAATGCTTCTGAAGATATTTAAAGCAAAGGTTAAAAGGTATCTGTCTAGCCTTCCTATGATGTACAGAATATTGGATTTTGTGGGGGAATTGTGGCTCATATTGAAGGGGTCTGTGAACTTGGATATAAAAAATTTTAAGTGAAATTTAACATTTTTTAAAAATTAAGAGTATAAGCAGCAAAAAAAGTAAAGTAATACTAGGCATACCTTTGACTGTTCTCAATAGAACTCAGATATTTGCAGATCACTTTAAAGTTGCTGCAGATGTCACAAAATGTTGTTTATGGCCACTAAACAATTATATTCAGAATTATAATTATCAGAGTTACTACTAGGTCTTGTTATTTAATGTATTAATAATAAAGAAGCATATATATATGTGTATCTGTATATATATGTAGTACTATATCTCCAATTTGTTTTTTTTAATGTCTTGATAATTGTGTTTCAATATCATTGTTTTTCCTTATAATCCTATATCTTATTTTAACCATTCAAAAACATTCTGAGAAAGGGGTCCATCAGCTTCTTGTCATAGGCAAGAATGATTCATGGCACTGAAAAAGTTAAGAAGCTGTGATCTAATATTTAGTAGAATAGTATTGATAAACTTTTTGTAGCTTAAGATTTAAAAGGCTTTTTCACTGAATGGGTTCTGCTGTATACTTAGGTACCATAGTCAAGCTCTCCACCTTTTCTGTTCTCCCAACACCTGATAGATATTATATTATATGATCTTATTAGGATCAGTGGTTTAATTCAGGAGCACCTGAATATATGTGTGTGTGAGTGCGTGTGTGATGTGTGGGATGAGGGTACAAGAGATGTAGTTTTCAGTGTTCTCCAGATGATATATATACGTATATGTATATGTGTATATAAATGAAAATGTAAGTTTAAGCTGTCATTTTTTTTCTATAATTTTTCCATAAGAATTCTTTGGACTTACTTCCAGAAATTGGTGAGAAGTAACAATAGTTATTGGGAAAATTATTCATTTGGCTTTAATAATGAGCTTATTTTTATTTAGTTTTCTTAAGTGCCTTTTCTTCTCCTCCCCCTGCCCCCCCCCCTTTTTTTTGAAGAATCCTGATGTAGTTCATCCAAAAGAAGCAATTACCTCATCTACTTTTACTGGTATTCGACCTGCACGAGTTGTATCTTCAACTTCTGAGGAAGAAGAAGCATTTACTGAGAAATTTCTTAAAATTAATTGCAAATATATTACCAGTGGCAAGGTAATGAATGACATTTTAGAGATAACTTTTAAACATGCTTTATTTTATTAAAATGTGACAGTTTGGGGGCCGACCCCGTGGCTCACTTGGCTGAGTGTGGCGCTGGGAGCGCCGCGGCTGCGGGTTCAGATCCTATATAGGGATGGCCAGTGCGCTCACTGGCTGAGTGCCGTGCGGGCGACACCAAGCCAAGGGTTGCGATCCCCTTACCGATCACAAAAGAAAAAAAAAGTGACAGTTTGGCATTTACATTTTTAAGTCATCAACATAAGCAAATGCTTAAATATTTTAAAAAGCTATTGGTGATACTATTAATTTGGGTTAATATGGACCTTGCTCATGACAAAGAGTCTAGTGATCTGTTGCAATTATTAAAGGCAATGGATATATGAGGGTACTTCAAAAAGTTCATGGAAAGATTATTATCTTTTAATTCTGTTTTTCCACAAATTTTTTCAAGTATCCCCAAATAAATTTACTACAGTGGGTATCACTGATTTGCTGTTGGTAGAATATTTCAAGAAGCATATATAAAAAGATCACTACTGAGCACTGTTTGGAGTGCTAACTTTTGCAAACTTTGTGTAACACACAAATAGGAAGATAACTAGTATTTATTGAATATCTACTATGTGCCAGAAACTACTTGATGTCTGAATTTATCAATTCAAACTAATCCTATGAAGTAGGTGATTGTATTCTTCACAGGAAACAAAATTTAGAAAAGATTAATAGGTCCAAGATTTCTCTGTAATAGACAGATCTTAAACCTAATTTGATCTGTTTCATCTTCCACACCTTGCTGCTTTTCTAAGCAAAAATCTTATAGTCTATAAAGGGAAAATGGAAAGTAACAAAGAGTGGAAAATAAACTCCAGGTTTTGCTATCACATGATACGGACTTTAGAAGTCACACATGAGAACACATGAGAATCACTTTATAGTTACACCGCTATCACCCAACTTGACTTAACCATTCTAATAGGTCTGTAGTAGTATCTCATTGTTCTAATTTGAAATTCCCTAATGACATACAAAGGTACTTCAAAAAGTTCGTGGAAAAATTGAAATAAAAGATAATACAAATCTTTCCATGAACTTTATGGAGACCCCTCTTATGATGTTAAGCATCTTTTCATATGCTTATGTGCTATCCAGGTATCTTTGGCATTTCTTTCAGTTTTGAAAGGTATTTTCACTTGGCATAGAATTTTAGGTTGACAAGGTTTTTTCTTTCATAACTTTAAAGTTGTTAGTCCACTTGCATTTTTCCAAGGAGAAATTTGCTATTTTTATATTTGTTGTTCTGTAACAAAAAATAAAAAAAAAAA